CAGAGAGGGAAGGGGGCCCCACAACCAGTTGGTGGCAATGTCAGGACTGGCTATTATGCCTCAGGGCAGGATTTCTGGTACTAGTTTTTGGCATGCAGTGATCATTCAATAAATGCAGGATGACTACTGTTTATAGTAGAGCTTGTGTAAGCCTCAGGGCCCTTGATTTGCACAGGCCCTTCCAAGGCCTTAGCAATTTGTTCCTACGGTCCGATGTTTTTGTAAAATTTACAAAGGAGGATATTTAAAATGCAATTGGTTGTTACCACTGACTTTTTCCAGTTCTGTTTCCCCCCACTGAACTTCTCTTTACCATGGCTGGTGCTGGAGCAGTTTCAGGCATTTATGGGTCCTAGCTGAGGGCAAGGTGAGCTGAGGATACATTTAGTTTGGGTTTTGTGGGATATTTTGATGGGGTTCACAGACACTTTCAGGTAAGTGCAAATTACCTACCTAGTTATCCTGGTGTAGGAGTGGCTTCTGGGAATGCTCCTATCATCCAAGGTGCTAACTCATCAGGTGCGAGGCCACACTATCTACTGTGGCATGAACTATCCTCTAGGGGCCAACTCCAGAAGCACCTGTGCAAGAGAGTTGGGTCAAGAATTAAAAGGACTGAGCCAGAAGCTAGTCTGTGAAAACGTTCTCCAGAACATCCAGCTAACACATGAGTTTAAACTTCATAAAAGTTTTCATAAATATCCCAAAAATCTAGATGCCATCTGCAATACCGACTTGTGAAACTCAGACTTTTTCTGAATTCTGACTGAAAAAAGTTCCATCAAGCATGTTACAGGAAGGATAATTTACTTTTTCTCTTCTCTCTGGAGATGAGGATATTATGAAATAAGTATATCCAGCCAGAAAAGTAGGAAATATATCACAGAGGTGTGTCAGGCAGTAAATTAATAAAAACATTACGTTATCGTCTTTGGGGATTTTGCAATGTTTGAGGTATTTGTCAGCTGTTTTAAATATGTAATTTGTTGTTTCGTATTCGAAGTAAATTTTCACGTTCATATCCAGTTTTGTTTGTGATTTTGTATTCCTTTTCTTTCGTATTCCTTGTATTTCCCTCCCCTCCCCTACTCTCTTACCAAATTCTGTAAGCTGCATCTGCCCTGTTGATGCCTCATTGGTTCAAAAGAGGGATCGTTCTCAAGCTGTGTGGTTCCGGGCCAGTGGATGTACTTCTTTGAGCCTGTTTCTTTAGTGGCAAAACGGGGATCACAATAGCGCCTACACTGCAGGGTTGTTGTTAACTTTCAATAAGCCGAGTCCTGCATAGCGCTTAATGCAGGCTTGGAACGCAACGAGCGATGATAAATCCAACCAGCCTTTAAGCTAGGTACACTTCCGCACACTTCCGCAGCTTTCAAACCCGCGGCCAAGTTCTTCCTGTGCGCATGCGTGTTCGACTCACGCACTCCCCCCGCCCTCGCCTCTTTCCTCCGCAGGCGCGGCCTACACTGCTGCAGGGGTTGATGGGCGGAGTCAAGGGGCTACTTCCGGGATTCCTCCCCTCGTCCAGGGACAACCCTCTTTGTATGACTGGCATTGACGATTATTCAGTAGTGATTGGACAGAGGAACGATCCATTTAAAAAAAAAAAAATCTCTCTTCCGAGTTGTCCAATTGCAAGCTTTGGAGGGCGGGTTCTTCTCTGGGGCGGGACAGAGTGACGGGCGTCTATTTTGACTAATAGAAACTCGGCTAGGAATAAGCCAGAGCCAATCACAAGTGAGAAAGCCGGATCCTGGGGCGGGGCTGGAGCTTCGGCAGTTGAACTGCTCACGAGGAGGGGCGGCTGTGGAGAAGGTGAGAGTCGCTGAGAGCGGCGGGTGCGCGGGCCGGGGTGGCGATCCTGGGGGGAGGGGGTCTCTGGGGGAGAGAGGCCTGCGGCGGGCAGCTGACCCGGCAGTGTGGGAATTGAGAGGGGGTGCCCTTTAACACGGGCGGGCGCTTTAATGAGGGGGTGTGAGGCAGAGGGCAGTTTGTGAGTCGGAGGGTATTTTTGTGTTTCGCAGGAGGGTCTTTAATGGGGAAAGTGTGTAAAGCAGGAGACGGCACATGGTAAAATACAGAAATGCTCTTGCAGTATAGTCTTGCGATTTAATGGGAACTTTTAAGACAGAGGGTTAATATAATATAGCGCAGTATGGAGGGGCGGAGGTCCCAGCGATGAGCTTTGACTTGGTGGAGGGCTTGTGAAGAAGCAACATTGAGGAAGGGGGGAATGGGGCCTTCAGGGAGGAGGGTGTGCTTTAACGAAGTGTGAAGTCATAGCGTTTACTGCGGGCATACTGTGTGCTAGACACCTATCAAGTGTATTATGTCAATTAACTGTTAAACTTCCTAACAGCCCCCTACTGGTGGTGAAGAGCGTGGGCTCTGGCGTTTGGGTTGCTGGAGTTTGAATCTGGGCTTTGCCACCCGCCCTACCTTTGAACATCAAGGTGGCTTCCTCGAGTTGTTTAACTCTTTGTGCCTCAGGTACATCATCAGTGGAATGACCTTATCTCTTCTGACTATGCCAGCTGCCTCACCCAGTCTCAGCTTCAGATGGTCTTTATATAGTGATAGTTCCAGTCTGGATCTCCCACCTGAACCTCAGAATCATATATGCATGGCCAACTTGACATCCAGACCTTAAAAACTTGTCCCAAACCAACGTTGAGGTTTTCCTCTTTCAACCTCCAAAGCCAGTTGATGGCAATTCCATTCTTCCAGGTACTCGGCCAAAAACCTTGGAATTGTCCTTCACACCTTCTTTTTCTCTCACCCACCTATGTACGGTTCATCAGTCAGCAAATCTCATTGGCTCCACTTCAGATCACACCCAGAATCCAGCCCCATCTCACCACCTCCGTTGCTACCACTCCGGTCCAAGCCATCACCTGCTCTTACTTGATCTGTTGCAGGGGCCTCCTCAGTGGTCTCCCTCCCCCTGCCCTTGGCCTCGATCAGGGGGATTTTGTTAAAACAAAAGTTGGATGATGGTGCTCCCCTGTTCAGACCCTCCTGTGACTTCTACCTCACGCGGAAGTCCTTGTCAAGCCCACAAGGCTCCACCTGCTGCAGCTCCCCTCTGCTCCCTGCTCTCAGTTCCTGCCACTCGCCCTTGCTGACCCTGCTTCAGCCACCTTGGCCTCCTCATTGTTCTTCACCCAGAGCAAATGTGTGGAGAATGTACTTGCTGTCCCCTCTGTCTGGATCGCGTTCCCTGCAGATGTCTAGATGACTTCTCCCTCACCTCCTTCAGGTCTCGATCGAATGTCAATTCCACAGATAGGCTCTCGCTGACCACCCAAGGTAAAATAGCTTCTGTCACTCCCTGCCTCCTCACTACCTGGTAATATTTTTCTTCATGACATTTACCATTACCTATATGACATGTATTAGTGTTTGTTTATATCCACTGGGCAACTTAGACCACCCTCCCACTATAGTGTTGGCTCCATGAGAATATAGACCATAACACCTAGAAGTGAACATACATGCTTCAGAGGTGTTACTTGTGCTACACCACCATTATCACCATTTCTGGGGGGTCTCCCGGTGGAATAGGGCAGGGATGTTGAGCTGAGAGTGTCTTGGATAGGGCGGTGGGGTCCAGATGGGGTAATAAACTGGGCAGATTGTGGTGGTCAGCGTAGAAGTTCTCAGCTTTAGTTAGTGCGAGAGGAGCTTGTAGGAAATGCAGGTTGCTGGATTCACCCCAGAGATTCTTCCTCTGTGCCATGCCTGGGATCCTGCATTTTCATTAAGCACCTGAAGGGATGCTGAAGGTCTTCGGCCCTCACTGTGTGAAACAGGCCAGTTCAGAGCTTGGGCTGGAGCTCTCATCATTTTACTCCTCTGTGGCTGGCCCTCTGCTGGGCTGCGCTGGGGCCACTGGTGACTGAGACAGCTCCTCACCCACCCTGGGAGTCAGGAGGGGCTTCCTGCCAGAGGAGACATTGGTCCTGGATGACAAGGAGTGGGGTGAGGGGAGACGACCTAGGCTGTATCTCCAGTGCCTCTCTAGGGCCAGGACCCCACTTCTTGGCATCACCTGTTAATTCACAGCGCCTGGTTTGTGCCAGGCCTAGGGTGCTGGAGATACAAGAATGATCCGGGTGGCTCTGCCCTCACAGGCTTCTGGTCTGTCACCTAGTCAACTCATTGCACAGATGATAACAGCTGACAGAGTGCCAGGCACTTTTTGAAGCACCTTATATGTATTTAACAAGTCCCCGCAACAATCCTATGAGGTGGGAGTTCTTATCCCCACTTTACTGGTGGGGAAAGGCCCAGAGAGGGCAATTGCCTTGCCCGGGGCACACTGTGGGTAAGTGATGGAGCTGGGATCTGAACCCAGGAGTCCTCCAGCCTGCAGCATGCGCCATGGTTAAGGTGAGAGGCTACTTTTAATTAGCGTTGGGAGGTAAAGAAGCAGAGAATTATGCTGGGAGACAGAAGATGGTCAGGGAAGGGTAGCTGGACAGTGAGTAGGGAGATGACCATTCCAGTCCCTCGCTGTGGGGTCCCAGGCAAGCCTCGGTTTCATCCTCTATAAAATGGGAGACATTATAATACCTACCTGAGAGCAGAATTAAGGGTGAGTCCCGGTCGATAGGTATGCATGGTTCTTATCCAAGGCAAAAAGTGTTTGAGGGACAGTGGGGGAGGGGCCTGGATCCCCCAGGGGGTGGTGTTGGGCTCCAGTGTGCGCTGTGGAGGTCTAGATTGTGGGGTGTCCTAAAGTACATTCCGGGGGAACGATGTGGAAGGTTTCAGCCTGTATTCTGAAGGAGTGTCAGGTGAAGGGGGAGGGGATTCTGTCCAGCTCAAATTCACCCACGTGGTGGGGGGGTGAGCTCTGAATGGGGCGAGGAAGAGTCACTCAGGCCAGGCCATGTGTGTGTGTATGTGATGTGGGCGGCACGCTGCATTGGCGAGTCCTGCTAGGTCATGGCCGGGCTGGAATACGGAGTGGGGTGGGGGTGGGGCTGCAGAGGAGTGGGGGCTGCCAGGCGTGGGGATTTCCCCATGTCTGGTGTGGGAGATGGTGATGTGGATTTGTCTCTTGGGAGGGACCCCAGCGTGGAGGACTGTCAGCTCGGCCCCGAGGTGAGGTCTGTGAAATCTGAAATATCCGGGGAGTGTAATTTGGGAGGAGGAGTCAGAGGTGGTGATGTAACTCTGGAAGTGGAGAGGGGTCACCTTAGTGAGCGATGAGAGGGACAGGGCTGGAGGCTGGGAAATTGTGTGTGTGCAGAAGCCATGATATCATGAGGCCCGAGAAATGGGGTCAGGTGTGTGGGCCAGAGTGGGCGTCCGCAAAGAGCTCGCGAGGTCGATGTGCTGACATCGCGGATTGGCGAGGGCGGGGCCTCGAAGGCGCGGCTGAGATGCGGGGTCAAGAAGCTGAGACGGAGAAAAGAAGCTGGGAGAGACTTAGGACTGGAACGAAACCAGCGACCAGGATGGGCCACTGGTCACAGAGCAAGGATGGAGGATGCAGGTAGAAGGGCAGGG